AGGCAAATTATGAGGGCAGAAGAAATACATATTATTCATTGTTGATTTGACATGCTTAAATTAGGATGTAGTGGGAAAAGTAGCTGTATTAATGTAATTTTCATTCATGCTCAGAATTTCTTTCCTCCCTAATACATATTTCCAGGGTGAATTATCCACTCACTTTAAAAGTGCCTTTCAGGGGCTTCCCTGGTGGCGCAGTGGTTGAGAGTCCGTCTGCCGATGCAGGGGACACAGGTTCGTGCCCCGGTCCGGGAGGATCCCACATACCGCGGAGTGGCTAGGCCCGTGAGCCATGGCCGCTGGGCCTGCGGGTCCAGAGCTTGTGCTCCGCAATGGGAGAGGCCACAACAGTAAGAGGCCCACATACAGCAAAAAAAAAAAAAGTGCCTTTCTGCTTAACTAGTCTTTTTCAGTTCCTCAGTAAGCCTGAGAGATGCTCCAATACTTCGGTCTGGAGCATACCCGATAATAAAACTGTATTTCAGTTTTACATTCCTAACTAACCAGGTAAACTAGCCTTCATCTGTTGAGTGTATTGTATTCCAAAAGTTTGTTACCAATTCTGTTTTTTGAACTTGACAGTTTCTTATAAAACAATTTAGTCAATTTTGGTAATGTACCTGAGTCAACCCTCAAAAGCCCCATTTTGACCCATAACATATTTGAGCCATATAGGTACTAAGTCTGAATGTTCTGACCTTGAGGCAGGCAGCCATGTGCTACAAGAGGAAAGAGGAAACAACTCCTTTTTTAGGCACAGGGCTAACAGTAGACAAAATATTGATAGGATCTGTTTGTTTTAGACATTATCACCTTCCCTTTTCATACTCATTACTGCTTCCCAGTGACCCTCTCCCTAGTTGGAGCCCCTAATGCCTTCATGCTTGCCTTAAGTACCCTGCCTTGGACTTTTCACCTAGGCCCGTGAGTTCTTACATCCCAAGGATCCTTTGCTCACAATTACCTGCCTTTCCTGTCCCATTTGGGCTTCTGTTCTATTGTAGTAACTGATCATACCTAGATATTAGGAGGTGTAATGCCAGCTATCAGCCCCTTAACCTATCAAAGAGGAGTTTGTATTTTAAAAAGAGGATACAATGTCTATTAAGACAACTGACCTAGATTCTTCAAAAAGTTACTTGGGGGAAAAGAGATAAAGGAGAGAGGCTGTTTTAGATTAAATGAGACAAAGGAGACACAACCAAATGCAGAGTGTGAACCTTGTCTGGATCCTGGTTTGGAAAAAAATAAAAGCTGTAAGGGATATTCTTGGGACATTTAGGACAATTTAAATAGAGAATTTATATTAAAGGATGTACAATGATTAATTTTCTTAGCTGTGATCATAGTATTGTGGTTTTATAGGAGTCCTTATTGTTTGGATATGCGTGCTGAAGTATTATGATCTCTAAAACTTAAAAATAGTTTAGGAAAAATAGAGCAAGTATAGCAAAATGTTAACAATTGTTGAATTCATGCAGAGGGTATACAGATAGATGTTCATTGTATTATTCATCTTTTATGTGTGGTTGAAAATTTTCATAGTAAAGATTTGGAAAACAGGGAAGCTGTTCATTAGTATAATATTCTTTAGATTGTAAAATTTCATGCAATGGAGAATTCAGGCAATATGGAGAACTTCATTTTTTACTACTTCTTCCCTATTCCACTTATCATTCATTCAAAGATTCACATATTGTCCTATTGACAGCAGCTGCTCTGGCTAGAGGAAGGAAGAGTTTCTCAGGGCAACAACAGCTTATTTTTACATATAGATTGTAAGTCATAGATTACCAGAATGTGAAAATCTTTGGCAGTGTGGTTCATTAGAATCATTATTTTTTTTGACTTTGAATAAAGGCTGTTTCAAGTCATTAAAATCAAAAGTTAGACAAAATGTATTCTTTTATATTGAATATATATTGTAAGTCTTTCTATGTAAAAATAGACAGTAATTTAATAGTAATTTCATAAGAAGAATCAGTGGACATAACTGAATTGTTAAGTGTTGCATTTGGAATAACTTTAGCTCTAACTTTAAAAGTAAATAACAAAAATAGACTAATAATTATGAGTCTATTTCAGATCAAATCACACTATAAGTTACAGTTGTTCCATAATTAATGCCATTTGAAGTTAAGACTGAGACTGATGCACCTAGGGATGAATTTTTCTTTCAACTTTTCTAAGATTTTTACATTTCAAAAATGGATATGGAAAACAGTATGGAGGTTCTTGAAAAAAATTAAAAAACAGAACTATCATGTGATCCAGCAATTCCACTTCTGGGTATTTATCCAAGGGAAATGAAATCACTTCACAAAGATATTTGCACCCCTGTATTCATTGAAGCATTATTTACAATAGCCAAGACATGGAAATAACCAATGTCCATTGATAGATGAATAGATAAAGAAAGTGTGATATACATATACACATTCTTCAGCCGTAAAAATGAAGGAAATCCTGCCACTTGTGACAATATGGATGGACCTTGAGGGCATTATGCTAAGTGAAATAAGTCAGACAGAGACAGACAAATACTGTATGAGTTCACTTATACGTGGAATCTGAAAAAACCTGAACTCATAGACACAGAGAACAGATTGATGGGTTGGTTACCAGAGGTGGGGGGTAGGGAGTGGGCAGAATGGATGAAGGTCGTTAAAAAGTATAAACTTCCAGTTATAAGGTAAATAATTCCTGAGGATATAATGTACAGCATGGTGACTATAATTAACAATATTGTATATTTGAAGGCTGCTAAGAGAGTAGATCTTAAAAGTTCTCATCACAGGAAAAAAAAATGTAACTATGTATAGTGATGGATGTTAACCAAACTTATGGTGGTAATTTTGCAATATATACATATATCAAATCATTATATTGTATACCTAAAACTAATACAATATTATATGTCAATTATATCTCAATAAAATGGCAGTTTCATGTGATTCAAACTAATTATCAGTGAAAAAAACAAAGATTCCTGCCTTCATGGAATTTTCATTTTAGTGGGAAGTGTATTGCAGTGTAACAAATTATTCCAAAATTTAGTGGCTTAAAACAACCAACAATTATTATCTCACAGTTTCTGTGGGTCATGAATTTGGGAGTGGTTTAGCTGGGTGGTTCTGGCTCAAGGTCTGTCGTGAGGTTGTAAGTCTATATGTTAGCTGAGGCTACAGGCATCTAAAGACAACTGATTCTGAAGGATCAGCTTTCAAGGCAGTTAACTCACCTGGTAGGAGGCCTTATGTCTTTGCTGGTTATTGACAGGAGGCCTCAATTTCTCACCATGTGAACCTCTCCAAAAGGCTGCTTGAGTATCCTTATGCCATGGCGGGTAGCTTCCCCTAGGTGGGGTGATTCAAGAGAGAGGACAAGGAGGAAGCCACAGTGACTTGTTTCCCCTCCTGCAGTGCCTTTTATGTTCAATCTTGGAAGTCACACTTTGTCACTTCCACTATTGACTTGGAAGCAAGTCACTGAGTCCAGGCCACACTCAAAGAGAAAGGAGTTAAATTCCACCTCTTGAAGGAAAGGAGTAGCAAAGAATTTGTGAACATATTTTAAAACCACCACAGGAAGACAGGTAATATGCAATAAACATAGTAAGTAAATTATGGAGTTTATTAGAAGGTTATAAGTTCTATGAAAATAAGAAAAAAATAGAGCAAAGGTAATGGGAATCAGAGTATCTGTGTGTGGAAGGGGTGTGGGATGCAATTTTCAACAGGGTGGTCATTGAAAGACTCATTAGTAAGGTTAGATTTGAGTAGACTTGCAACAGATGAGGAAGTTAGCTAAGCAAATATCTAAGAGAAGAAAGTCCTAAATCAAGGGAATAGCTAACCCAAAGGCCCTGTGGTGGGGGTAAAATGAGGTGAGAGAA